TAGTAGGAACTGCAGATGCTGGAGTCAAAGTCAATAGTGTGAGAAACTGGAAAAACACAGCACGTCAGGCAGCAGAAGAGCAGGAAAGCTGATGTTTTGGGTTTACACCCTTTATCAAAACTGATGCTGTCTGACCTGCTGTATTCCTCCAGCTCCACACTGTCTTGACTTTAAATAAGTGTGTTGTATGCTCATTGGCCCTCCTAGAATAATCCTACCTGTAACACTGATACAGTATTCAAGATCTCTTTGGAGCAGATTCTCTACTGAACTCTTCTCAAAAAAAGGTACTTAGCTAATGTCTTTTTGATTTATTAAAAAAATTACTCATTTATTCCCTAGGCCATAACTCAAATTAAGACAAGAACCCTACAGACCCTGTATACAAAAAGAATAAATGCACCAACTTGTTTCTAAAATATGTCATTAAGTTTTCCTACCTATGCATGTGACAACTGCTCCCATAATTCTAATATACACTTTTGGTTCCAGTCAATCAGATAGGATATAAAGGTTGTATTCAACTTAACTTGGACAAACAGTCTGGGTCAATGTTTGAAAGTGGTCAGCCGCAAGGAATATTTTCTGTTGGCACTGAAGAAAATGGCTTCAATCCTCCCAGTGTTTAGCTGGGAGAAACTTTACTCACCTAGTATCAGGTGTTGCATCAGTAGTACGATCATCCAAACAATGGATCATTTAAAACAACAAGCTGCTAGTAAGACAGCACTAGGGGTTGTCAGCATACATGTTGAAGCTGACTGCTTTTGGATACTGTCACTGAGCCTTCAGTATGTTGGAGAAATGAGAGCAGCCCAAGGGCAGACCATTGCGATAATCCAGAAATAACAATACAGAAGTGGAATAGTACAACAGTACTGAAGCCTTGTGCTCCAGAATTTGCCAGTCCCCTAGCCAAACTGTTCTAGTACAGTTATGCTGATTTACCCAACAATGGGGAAAATTGCCCAGGTACGTCTTGTACATAAAAAGCAGGACAAATCCAACCCAAACAATTACCATCCCATCAGTAAAGTGATGGAAGATGTCATCAACAGTGCACTCTGCTCAGCAGTAACTTGCTAACTGACACCCAGTTTGGGTTCTGCCAGGGCCACTCTGTTCCTGACCTTATTACAGCCTTGATTCAAACATGGACAAAAAGAGCTGAATTCCAGAAGTGAGGCGAAAGTGACAGTCCTTGACATCAAGGCTGCATTTGACTTGTGTAGCATCAAGGAGCCCCAGCAAAACTGGAATCAATGGTAATCTAGGGGCAAACTTTCTGCCCTTAGTCATAGCTGGCATGTAGGAAGATGGTTGTCATTATTGGAGATCAGTCACCTCAGCTTCAGGACATCTCTGCAGAGATCCTCAGGATAGTATCCAAGGTCCAACCATCTTCAGCTGCTTCATCAATGACCTTCCCTCTACCATAAGGTCAGAAGTGGGGATGTTCGCCAATCATTGCGTAATGTTCAGCATCATTCGCAACTTGGTACTGAAGCAGTCCATGTTCAAATACAAGAGCTGGACAATATCCAGGCTTAGACTGGCAAGTGGCAAGTAACATTCACATCACACAAGTGCCAGTCTGTGCATTACCAATAAGAGACAACCTAACCACTGTCCCATGACATTCAAATGGTGCTACCATCACTGGTAACCTCCCCAGGATGTTGATAGTGGGAGATTCATTGAGTTTCTGATCAATTGTTATCACCACGTAAACACATTGACCTGTTCTTGTCAGAGGCTTGGAATACTGCAGCAAGTAACTCACCAAAGCCTGTCCACCACCTACAAGGTACAAAGTTAGGAGTGTAGAGGAATACTGCCCACTTTCCTGGATGAGTGCAGCTTAAAACACACACAAGCATCCAATCCCTCCACCAATAGAGCTCAGTACTGTATCAGCAGCGTGTACTATCTGCAAGATGCACTACAGAAATTCAAAGATCCTTAGACAACACCATCCTAAATCACTACCACTTCCATTTACAAGAACAAGGACAGTAGATATGTAGATAAACCACCATCTTCAAGTTTCCCTCCAAGCCACTCACTATCCTGATTCAGAAATACGTTGCCATTCCTTCAGTTGCTGCGTCAAAATCCTGCAATTCTGTCCCTAATGGCATTGTGGGTCAACTAAGATGAAATGCAGCAGCTCACCATCTTCTGAAGGGCAATTAGGGACAGGCAATAAAATACTGGCCAACTAGCAATATCCATATCCCACAAAAACCAACAGGTCATCACATTTCTTACAGGCCATGACAACACAAACTGCTCATTGAAATAATCAGGTTATTTTCATGCAACCAGATTGTCCCTTTCCTGCTTTCTCTTCAGATTAGAGGACAGGAGTTGTACATTAGATCAGTAACTAGAAAACATACTCAATTGCATATTGTTAAAAATCTTAGTGTATCCCTTGATATCTGATGGAAAATTGTCTCACTTTGTTTTGGAAGTTCAAATTGTGGGTGAGTCTTAAATCAGGAGATAAAAATTAATCTTTATTCTGAATTCCAGAGAAAGGGCAAGGGCAGGGGGGGCAAATATTTAGAACACATACAATTACCCTTCATACATACTGCAACCATAACTTACTAGAAATATGCATTTCAACACAGCCCAGGGTTATATTTTGTACTACAATGCAACATCCAAAAATCAACATTTAACAAGTTAAAAAGTCAAGGGCTCATCCTAATTTTTATGCCATTGTAGTATAGCAATAAATGCTGGTCTAGCCAGCAGTCATCCCATAATTTAATAAATAAAAACCCTGTTACTATACAAGAACAATGGTTACAGGACATTTGGCCCTTTGAGACTGCACCACCATTCAACTGAATCATGGTTAAACTGACTAGTCTTAACTCCACTTTCCTGTCTGCATCCCATAACCCTCGATTATTCTTCATAAACTGTCTTTAAACATTTAATGAACTGTTAAATAAGAAATGGGACATTGGGCACAATCTTGGTGATGCCAGCAATCCCAGCAGCCTGCTGGGTATAGAGTGAAAACCTCATGTTACCTCTTTTTGGGAACACACATGACACCTTGGTGCTTCTCAGGCCATGGCAAGATTTCCCCTTTATCAATAACCCTCGGCTAAAGATGTTTTATTCTGAGCTGCCAGCCCTCCAGAGGCCACAGGAGAAGGAGGCAGTTGCTAATGGTCCAACACCCACCAGAGACCTTGGATTGCCAAGCACCAGTAGGTAGTGATGGAATAGGGGTCATTAATAACGGCAGTAGGCTTGAGAGATTCTACAAATAGATTTGAAAACAAGTAGTTTTACAGTTGAGGTGTTGACTGACTGCAAAGCAATGTAGATCCAGCAAGAACAGTACTGTTAGATGAATGGAACTAAGCTTTATGAAAAGGGCAACAAGCTTTGAAGGAGGTCAAGAATACAAAACAAACTTCTTTACCCAAGGAATGATAAGAACGTGGAAATGATGTCTTCCTGCAGTTAACAATTGAAGCAAATAGTATTGATGCATTTAAGAAAGTAAAAAGCTTAACAAGCATGCAAGACAAAGTGGATTTAGATGACAAAAAAAAAAAAAGGCTCAAGTGGAACACTTTCCCTGCCACATATCCTATGCAAGACAAGGCACTGGTCAGAAGAATCGCAAGTTTGAATAGTCAAGTTTAGATGTGATGACTGAGGGTTTAAAACTATTTATGCTAAAATAAAAAAATGCACACCTTGATCTGTAATTCTGACACTAATGGCAATGTAATGTTGCAGATATTTATTGTTTATGCAATAGTTTTTAATCAGTCCTAGAAAACAGGCACATCTTGTACAAGATATTAAAAGTTATCTTCAAAATGTTGAGGATTTAGCATGCAATTGACAAAAAGCAGCCTCTACAAAAGAATTTTAAAACCTTTTCAAATTAAGTTAAGCACAAAGCATACTGGGGCAACGCAAATATGAAGTTATCAATTCATAACAAGCTCGCATTAGTCAACCACAATTTTGGAATGCTTGTTACAAAAGTAGAATGTTAAGAGACTATTGCGCAGAAACTACTCTTTACACGTATTTTGATACATTGAAGAGTCTCCAAATAGTATAACCATTTAATAAATGAAATAATATTTGCAGCTTCCATGGGAAGAATGCTATAGGCATTGTGATAATCACTTACTGCAACACCTCAAATACCTACTGCATGCCTAATTAACTCTTCAAGCACTGTATGCATTAATTTTATACTTATTTGTAACAATGAGCATTTTAGATTTCCTTGTACAAAAATATCCATTTTGGTGTCTATCCTATTCAAATTAAGATAGGATGTTGAATATTAGTTTCCATTTCAAATTTAGCAAATTTAGTAAAAATTTCCAGTGGTGATGATAGTGGATTAATTTGAAGATCAAAAGAAGAAAAGGGACATTAAATAGTGGAAAAAAAGGTTTGTTTCAAAGTTGAGCTGTATGACCAGAAAAGGAATCAAGTAGAGACTTGGGGTGGAAAAAGGAAGAGAAAGGACAAAAGCTCCCTTTGATATAGGACAGAGAATAATTTGAAATTAAATTTTGGAATTATCCACAAAGTAATAGTTCATATGACTATAATTAATTCAAGTAAAGAGATTCCAAAAATCCAGGAATATAGATCCTGGAAATCTCAGAAAATCAGCAAGTCTGGCAGCATCTTCAGAGAAAAAACAATTAACGTTTCAAGTCCAGTGGCCATTCTTCAGAACGAAAGGGTTACCAGATTTGAAACATGAATTCTGCTTTCTCTCCAAAGATGGTGCCACATGTGGGTTTTTCAATTTGTTTTTGATGGGGAGTAATGATTTGTGTTTAATTATAAGTTATACATTAGTTATAGTTTAACAAAAAGAACAGAATGCCATATTTCAAAAAGATGAAAATCTCAAATATTGTTAATCCATTTAAAGAGTGGGAGATTGTAGGCTTACAATAATACATTGTTGCAAAGTGCAGACAAAAAACCCAAGTCAAATATTTGTTTTTATTCCTGGTAGGATGCATTTTAGTCAAAGTGGAAAAGAACAGACTTCATATTTTCAGAAATAATTAAGAATTAGACTTGTTCTGAACAGACACTGTTCAAACAAAACAATACTTTTTACAAGTTAAAGCCAACAAAAATGTAAGATCTGATCAACCAAAGCTATTAGGTCAATTTACTTAAATTAGCACAGGTAAGTTGAATTCTCAAGTGTTCACTAAACTTTGTGAAAGAAACCCAAAATTGCATAAGGTAATATGGAATTTCCTTGTGAAATTTATTGAAAACAGAAGTGAAAAATCTAAACAAAATTTCAAAGTCAAAAATAATAGGATTTATACTAAATCATGCCAAGGCAAAAAAGGTAGCACTCTTCATTTTTAAAGCAATAGGAAAATGTGTGTACCAATAGGACAGATGCAAAAGACCACCCCTACCCTGTAATGAACTGGGATAATCATCCAATTAATTTGTTCCTAACCAAAGCAAAAAGTAATGCTAAGCATCAAATTGGACATTAAAAGCTAACTATTAACTTTGACCATTACGAAGTGGGAAGAAATATTTTTTCTATGTTCTTACTTGCATTGTACTTAGAAGTTAAAGGATTGCTCTATTCTAATCTCCCAGACAACCCTGATCCGCCTTTATTTTCTGGCTCATAGAGGAGGGGACAGGAACAAAAACTATGAAATGTTTGAAGAGTTAATCTTCTTGGAAAACTGCATTCAACATTTTCAGTGCATAAACCCATTACTTTTATATATAGTTTCAAACTTTAATGTAATTTTCCAGTTTCTGGAGTAGTGTTAGAATTCAAGCTTGTGGTATTAATTCATAAAAAGCAAAGTGAGTCAATCACATTCTAACGGAAAAATCCCAATTTTTTGCACAGCCATTCTTCACTAAAATCTTCTGTATTTCTAATTTCAAAGACCTGAAAGAAAAATATATACAATTACTAAATCAAATGGCTCTTATTTCTGATTCAATAAATAAACCAAATTCTTGGCAAAATCTTAATTTGCTATTGCAATGCCTCAAAATATTAAATTATTCAAAGACAATATTCTGCATGTTTACATACAGACTGAAGTTATTTCATTCAAGAAGTAAACTTATTCAAAACAGGGTGCTCTTAAATTTCAAACTTCAACAGTAGACAGTGTCCCAGACTTGGAGAAAGGAGGAATAATGTATAATGGCTTCCACTGTAACACGTTGATGCTAAATGGTCAGCCTCATTAGGTGTGCAAAGCAGTTGGTCTTGAAATACCTACCATAGCCAGAAGTTCCAGGCTCAAATTGCACTCAAATTTAATGACCAACAAAGATGCATTCATAAAGCAGGAACAGAGGTCAAATATCAATATTCAAATCTTTCAAAACTGGAGTCTCCATCACAGTTCATAGCTCCAAACTAGAACAGGTATGTAAAAGCAAAGATAGCTGTATAAGGAGTGTGGATCAGACTGAACACTGAATTATTGGCACCAATCAAGGTGGATTCAGCACCTGCCTCTTTGTCCCACCTATGGTGGGCATCACAGCATTGTGGATCAGAACAACCTTGGAGAACTGAAAGAATTGTGCTCAATTAAGCCATTTAGAAACTTGGTCAAAAGCAGACTGTAGTGATTAGATGACTTTAATGTGTGCTATTTTCCAATCAGATACCTACAGCAGTTTCAATGCCTGTTTTGGTAGTGACAGAAATCTTCAGGAGTCATACTTCTACGTACCAGGAAATGCTTGCGCCTCTGAATTAATCTGCATTGATGTTATTATGGACGTTAGCTCAACAAGCACAGTGGAGTGCCTATTGGCACAATGACTTATGTATACAGATTCTATTTTTTCTTCCATTTTGAATAGCGAAGACAGACAAAATCAGCTGCATTCGTGTTGCAGATCTTGCTCCATAAACTGTGACAAAACTAGCATGGAGCTGAGTATGACAGAAAAGGAATTCATTGTTCATTCTGATCAACTTAATTTCCCAATAAGTAGACTAACTTGTCTAGAACAGAATTGAAATTAACCTTGAGAATGGTGAAGCCAGACATCTTGCCTGAAGACCAACAGTTAATTATTATACTGTGACATTAAAAAGGGCAACTGGTGTGGAGAGGGCCCTTATGATACAACACCTGCATTTGCACCAGGCATCTTGTTAAACCCAATTTTCGGTATGTGAACTTGAATGCGTAAATGTTAGTTTTGCAAATAGTTCAAAGATATTGCAGCTCTAAATACTGAAGCTAAATAACAGCTATCCAATCAAAGCAGGTTTCATCCAGTCATCCTGAACAGGTAAAATCTAGGTGTGCATTTGAAACCCTTCAAGACTGAACACTAATGGACATCTCTTCCGCTTGTTGCGGCAAACATTACTATACTGAGCTTGCTGTCTCATCACAATGCATACCAAGGTAATTGCACTGTATACTCTCCCTACTTTGACACAGTAGCCTTTGAACCTTGATCAATCCACAGACATATCTAAGAGTCATAGGGATATACAGCACAGAAAAAACCCTTCTATCCAACTTGTCCATGCCAACCAGATATCCTATCTAAAATCTACGTCCCATTTGCCAGCATTTGGCCTATAATCGCTCTAAACTCTTCCTATTCATATACCCATCCAGATGCCTTTTAAGTGTCATAATCGTAAAAACCCCCACTACTTCCTCTAGCAGTTCATTCCATACACGTACCACCCTGTGTGAAAAAGTTACCTTTTAGGTCCCTTTTAAAATCTTTTCCCCTCTCACCTTAAACCTATGCCCTCTAGTTTTGGACTTCCTCACCCCAGGGAAAAGACCTTGCCTATTTACCCTATCCATGCCCCTCATGATTTGATAAACTTCTCCAAAGGTCACCCTTCAGCCTCCAACACTCCAGGGAAAATAGCCCGTCTATTCATCTACTCCCTGTAGCTCAAACCTTTCAACCCCGGCAACATCCTTGTAAATCTTTTCTGAACCCTTTCAAGTTTCACAACATCCTTCTTGCAGGAGGCAAACCAAAATTGCACCGTATTCCAAAAGTGGGCAAACCAATATCTTGTACAGCTGCAACATGACCTCCCAACTCCTATATTAAATGCACTGACCAATAAAGGCAAGCATACCAAACACCTTCACTATCCTACCTGCACCTCAAGGTCTCCTTGTTGAGCTACATTTCTCAGGATCTTACCATCGAGTGTACAAGTTCTGCCCTGTTTTGCCTTTCCAAAATGCAGCACCTCACGTTTATCTAAATTAAACTCCATCTGCCACTCCTCAGCCTGTTGGCCCATTGATCAAGATCACATTGTACTGAGGTAACCTTCTTCACTGGCCATTATACCTCCAATTTTGGTGTCATCTGCAAACTTTACTGACCACACCTCTTATATTCACATCCAAATCTTCTATGTAAAAGTGATAAAAAGCAGTGGACCCATCACCAATCTTTGTGGCACACCTGTAGTCACACACCTCCAGTCTGAAAAGCAACCATCTGCCACCACCCTCTTCTTCCTTTGAGCCAGTTCTGTATCTAGCTAGTTGAGGAGTTCTCCTTGTATTGTGTGATCTAACCTTGCTAACCAGTCTACCATAATCAACCTTGTTGAACACCTTACTGAAGTCCATATAAATCACATCCACTGCTCTGCCCTCAACCCTCTTCAAAAAAAAACCCAAAGTTACTAACACATGATTTTCCAAGCACAAAGCCATGTTGACTATCCCTGATCAGTCCTTGCCTTTCCAAATACATCTAAATCCTGACCCTCAGGATTCCTTCCAACAGTTTGCCTGCCAATGTCAGGCTAACCTGTGAGTAGTTCCCTGGCTTTTCCTTACCACCTTAAATCATGGCACAAGGTTAGCCAACCTCCAGTCTTGGATACAAATATTTTAGCAAGGGGTCTGGCACTGTCTTCCCTCACCTCCCATTGAGTTCTAGGGTACACTTGATCAGGTCCCAGGGATTTATCCACCTTTATACACTAAGGCATTCAGCACCTCCTTCTCAGTATTACTGAGATTTTTCCATATGTTGCTATTTATTTTCCCACATTCTTTCTTCCATATCTGTCTCCACAGTAAACCAATTTCCTGTTAAGTTGTAGGAGTCAAAGGTGTGCACAAGTTGCCATTGTGCTTATTAAGTTGACTTTACTTAATAGTAGGATTTTGGAATACTGCAAAGTAAATAACACAAGGCACAAAGAATACAAGAGTTTTGTTTACAAAAGATTGAAATGCTGACTTTGTTGATTAGTTAATAGTATGCAATGCTATTGGGTTGCTTTACAGAACAAAAAAGCTTGACTGATTTGGGATTGTACTCTAATGTTAGTATTGCTCCTGTCCTCATCTTTGTAAACTCAAAGAAACATCAAGCTGAACCCAAATTTCCCCATTTAAAATCACTTTTGGGACATGGACATTGCTGCTGTTTATTACCTGTCTCAAGTTGCCCTTGAGGTGGTGGTGGTGCTGCTGCTGAGGTGCATTCATGAACTGCTGGAGTCCATGTGCCTGTAGGTTGACCCACAATGCCCTCTGGGAGGCAATATTTCTCCAAGTCGGGATTGGGGAGTGTCTTGGAGTGGGACTTGCTGGTGATTGTGTTCCCATGTCTGTGGCTCTCATCCTTCTAGATGGAAGTGAAGATGTATTTGGAAGGTGCTGTCTAAGGATCTTTGGTGAATTTCCACAGCACATCTCGTAGAAAGTACACACTACTGAGTGTCAGTGGTGGAAGGAGTTGATGTGGTGCAAATTCACCAGGCTGCTTTATCTTGGATGGTATTAAGCGCATTGAGTGTTGGTGGAGCTGCACCCATCTAGGCAAGTGGGTAGTATTCCATCACACTCCTGACTTGTGCCTTGCAAATGGTGGAAAGGCTTTGAGGAGTCAGGAAGTGAGTTATTCACTGCAGTATTCCTAGTTTCGGACCAGTTCTTGTGGCCAATGTTTACGTGGCAAGTCCAGTTGAGCTCCTGGTCAGTGGTAACCCCATGGATATTGTTAGCAGGGGATTCAATGATTGTCAATGAACGCCAAGGGTTAGATAGTCTCTTATTGCAGATGGCTGTTGCTTGTCACTGGTGTGGTGTGAATATTACTGCCACTTGTCAGCCTAAGCCTGGATGTTGTCCAGATCTGTTGCATTTTAAAGCGGACTGCTTCACTATCCAAGGAGATACAAATGCTGCTGAACATTGTGCAGTCATTGGCAAGCATCCCCATTCTGACATTATGACACAGGGAAAGTCATTGGTCAAACAGCTGAAGTTTGAGGATCCTAAAATTTAACTCACTCAGAAGGCTGTTCAAACCTGCACAAGGTGCATGCTAGTAATTTTGATACCATTGGATACAAACTTCTGGCCCTCTCAAATGATTGCATATGGTGTCCCATCACTGTCACTCTGCGAATTCTCTTGTTGTGAACCAGCTACAGGCTGCTGCCATACATGCCACAGTGCTGCAGTCTGAAGCCAGGCTTTCTAGGGCTAGGGCTGCTTAAGTTTGCCCAAGGCCATATGCTGTCACAATAGTGGGCACTTGTTTGCACGATGCATCAAGGGTTATAATCAAAGAACTGTACAATTGGCATCCTTTTCAGTTTCAGTATTTCTCAGGGATTTCCAAAGAACAGTAAATGGCACACTGGAGAAAAAGAGCCCAAGTAAGCAACAGTGTGCTTATATACATATACAGCTGTGCAAGGTTGACAGCAGGCATTGCCTTCAACGTAGGCTCCAAAATGGTAGTGCTGGCAGCAAACTCGCACAAATTGAGATCACAATCACTTCCGGCAAACACTCCCCAGGCCAGTGTGGACCCCCTACAACAAAAGTGATGTGTCCATCACAAAACACCATTTTGAAAATGACAATGCACCTGAAGTCCCTAATCAAAAGGCACTACACAACTGAAATTTTCCACCCTTTATTTGCAGGGTTTTCTTGTCATGGGTCTTCAGCACTAGAGGCCAACAGTCAGAAAGCCAGTTACAGTTTTTTTTGTGGAAAGAAATTTCATACTTAAATGCAAACATGGGGATTCTAGAGCTTTAGAAGATTGTATAATGACTACATATGGGAATTCTACAACATGTAGCGTGGCAATTAAAGTGATGCAAACAATTTGCAATCAGTCTCTGTTGTTTCAATAATATCCCAATGAAGGTTTACCTTGCTCACAAGAGGACCATATTGTATTGATGGCCCAAAATCAGCTTCAAGAGTTATTTTAACTTTCATTCAATTGTTCCCTACTACAAACAAAATATTCACAATGTGGAAACCAATAAATAACAGCCAGATTAGAATTCATGGTTCATGAAATAAAAACTGTATACACAGGTTCTGGAAAAAAGCTAATAATCTCACCTTGGTAAATTCCGCCACATCCACCAATCCAATTTTGCTACCAGCATAAATCATCTGCTGTTCAGGCTTACAACCTAAAACAAAATCCACAAAAAGCCATACAAATAACTAATTTTGGAAATCAAATTAAATTGCAGAATTAAATTAGCACTGCATTATCATCTTCATAAATCAAGTGCTCTCAATAAGCTTATTAGGTTGTTAATAAATAGTCAAATTAAGGGAGTGCATAAGTTGCCATGGGGTTTAAAGAGACTTGGGAATAATGTTACACTGCAAAATAAATCAAATAAGTAAAAAGGGACAAGGATATAAACGTTGTTTCCAAAGGAAGACAATGTTTTTGCTCGGTGGTTGGGTGTGCTATGCTATTGGGTTATCTCAGAATAAAGAACTTCATTTGAGATCGTACTGATATTACGATTACTCCTGTCCTTCGTAGACTCAAGGAAACAATAAGCTGAACCTAAAATTTCCCTATGAATCAGTCATTCTGGACTACAAAAATACAAAAAGAAGTTACATAACTGATTTCTATTTTGAAGCCCATTGAAACAAATAAGTTTGCTAACCCAACAGCTGCCCAAGCTGATAACCAATTCAGAACAAATCTGGGATCTGTAACTGGCCAGCTGAGACACTGAAAGAAGGTAAAGATTATACAGTTTAAGAATTAAAAAGTTTAACCTATTCCCAGATGACTTTGCAAATCAGCTCAGGGGCTGTGTCAGTGGTTTGGGCACAAATTTCCACGAAGAGTGTTTCGTTGCAGCAACTAGTCATACAAGAATAAGCAATCAATCAATCTCACTAAAAGGAAACAAGCATTTTCTTTTTGTGGAAGAGGAAGAACACTATTTTATTTAGGAACTGTTGACACATTAATTTCATACTGCTTAGAACGAGTTTGGTAATTAGTATACCATGTTAGTGATAACAGATCACCACAGATGTGTTAGAATGCAGGACACAAGACCAGAATCTCTAGTGCAAGTTTAGATTTTTGCCATACAAGGCTGTAGTAAAAACTGCACATAAAACTAAAGTGCATGTGTTTTGTTCAATTACTTTGCAAGGGTCCTGTGACAGCACTTTCTAAACCCTGAGATCTACCAACTAGAAGAACCAGGGCAGCAGAACACCACAACCTGCAATTCATAACCAAGTCACATTTTTCGAAGTCCGAGGCATGCATCATTCCTTCATCGTTAACTCACAATGCTTTCACCTCCCACCAGCAGTTTGGAATGGGTGACAACTGCTGGCTATACCAGTGATGCTCATATCCTAGGGTAAAATGTAAGCAAGGAATTCGAATAATTGTGAATAATCAATTCGAGAGCAAGCTGTTTGTAGAATGGCAGCAGCCTCCCTGAGGAGAGAGGTGGCAGTAAGTTTGCGACTCTTCCTGATCGGAGACGGCAACAAAACTCCTTCCTGCAGTCAGAGCTGGCAGCAATGGCAAAGCTTTTCCCAGCAATTGGAGGCAGTATGGCACAGCTTCTCCCAGCGATCAGAGGCGGCAGTATCAACAGACTGCGGCTTGATCCAGGTGCTTGCATTGGAGGCTGAGCATCCATACACCTTTATTGAGACTGCACTTTAAGATCTGGACATTTTCCTTTCTTATTGGCTGTGTTTCTTTTATTTCTGTTTTTCATAACCAAGATGGCACTGGAGAATGGCAACTTTGTACACTTTTCACTGTACTCCTGTATTCAAGTACATGACAAAATCTAATTCTAAATATTGGACACTGAGAAGCAAGTTAGTGCAGTACCAGAGTGGCATACATTATGGTTATTGCTTTATGTTCAGTGCCGATAGCACATGATTTTACTTGTGTGTTTGCAGCAGCCTTCATATTTGACCAAATGAGAAATGAAATTCATTAGTCATTTCCAAAGTAAAAGCATCATCATGTTGTGATTAAATTTTGCGAATAATTCTGAATCTGGTTAGTGATAGATTGACCCAACAAAAAAGCAACAAGATAGCAACTTTGGTTTTAGAGTTTTGTGATGTGTGATAACATCAAGACATGCTGATCATTCTTCGGGCTCACTATGCATGTATAAAAGCAGAAAACTGTTTACAGTAAAGGTTTAAATTTTCCAAAGTTTAATTTTGACTGATCCAAAAATATTTTTTTTTAAAAAATGAATCTTCCAAAAATTAAAACAAGCCACCTACAATTGCAGAAAATAAACAAAAAGTATTCAGTTACAATTTGGAGAGAGAACAAACATTGAGACAAAGATCAGACACTGGTAAGGGATATGTTGGTATGAAAACAAGTTAAAAATGAACTTTAGAAATTGATCACTTACCACAAGGACTAAAGAATATAAAGCACAATGGATAGGAGACCCTTCCATCAGTATGCTTATATCTGTAGCTGTAGACCACAAATGTGGTTAGAGTTAAAAAAAACACCAGTTCGAGGGAAAAACATGACTCTTGACATAGTGAACTTGTCCTTTATTGTAAAATGAAGGAAATGACCTTCCATATTTTCTAATTATCTGAAATAATTAGACAAAGGACTTGCATATAGAGCACTATTCATAAAATGAGACATGAGATGTACCCAAAGGAGTAAAAACAAGTTTCTTAGTTGCCATTATTTAAAATAAGCAGTTAACCATACTAATATATTGCAAGAAAACATTTAACAATCAGGTATACTGCCAGCCAGATCCCTGTTGCATCAATCTCATTTCTCACCTGTAGGGCAGTTCTACAAGAAATCTTCCCTAATGTTTTTTGATCAAAAAAAAAAGGACAGAGGGCCAAGGACAGTAATTAGTGGGATTCCTGGTCTGGAGACACAGGAAACCAATGGGAGTGTCAATATTGTACAGCTAACCCAAGACAGGGAGGACCGAGAAAACATTTCATTTCACATCTCCCTTTTTCAAATTCCTTCAACGACAGATGCTCCATTCAATTTAATTAGTTTGTTTTCATACTTTGAAAATAATGAATATTAGTATAAGCTTCCTGAGAAATCAGTCTATATTTAAATGGATGGTTAAAGATTTGTTAGCATAAAATTTTATAAATATGCTCATTACTTTGTGTCGTACCATATTTTGTACAGCAAAAAGAAAAGGTTGATGATTGATTGATGCTGAACTGAATATTTCACATTCAAGGATGGGGATGGAGGGGAGATGGAAACACCACAAAAGTAATTCCTAGTTGGTATTTTGTGATTCCTACTTGAGAGAGGGCATATGACCATCAGGAAACTTAGTGATCAGAGTCAGGTCCAAAGTCACTTCCAAACTTTAAAGGTGGAAGAGACCAACAGTTGTGGTCCTTTCTTGTTCACTTCAACGCAAGCTGGTGAGTACCCAACACAAGCAGAGCTGTTTCACTATTCCCAACTAAAAAAAACTCATCAGCCACTGATTAAGTAAAAAACAAGGAGGCTTATTAAGAACCAATGCATAATTAGATACAAATGATAAGTATTTTGTTCCAATTAGGATTCATAATTGGATCGACAGAGGTTGGCTGTTAGAAGGTCTGCTAGTTACACTGGAAACTAAATTGCATACTAAACTAATCAGAGAATAATCAATTTAGACTGACTAAGATGTGTGTCTAGTAACAAATGGCTACTAAATATTTCCCTCCTTTCAGAGGGAGTCCGCTTCAATTTCTATTCCAACATTTTTCAATCACAAAATCAAAGTCAAAGTCAATTACTGAAGATATTTGCAATTGTTATTTTAATCACAAGTGATCTGGAAAAGTCATACAAGATTTATCAAAATCTAAAAGCAAAAGAAGGATATCTGGGTTGATGTTCAGGGAGCTCATTCTTGAGTTCTTCTGGGGAAATATCCTAAAAGACAGGCAAACAGCACAAGTTATATTTTTTCAATGAATTTGTTGGTCTCCTGTAACCTGCAATTAATTATGACAATTTAAACACATGTAATTATTTCCCTGCCTCCCATTTATATACAGCCCTCATCTTCTCCCAGCTTATGATATTGCTCTCGGAGCCCTGCTAGAAACTTCAAGCACCTAAGTCAGACTCATAAAAGAATCTCAATCCTGTCAAATCAAAATCACCACAGGACCACACATGTTGTGGTGTCAGTAACATCTTATATAGTGGTCAGTTTGTCCACTAGATCATATTAAACATCTTACATTTTAAACTAAGAACCACCTGCCCCTAGTTAATAAGTGACTAACCTCATACTCTTCATCCAGAATCACCATCTGTTGCTCCTGATCAATCTTCACTGTGACAAAAATAAAAAGTAGGTGTTCTTAATTGTTTTTAAAAAAGTCAGTTATTTTGATTATTACAAAATGTTCATTTGTCACAAGTTTAAACCTCCACTTGTTTTAATAAGTTTAGTGCTTCAAGCCTGTTGTTGGAAAGCTTTACCCTAGTAAACATATTAAAAAGCAGTTAGAGACTTGTTGATATTTTTACTCAAGTTAAGATTTATGAATTATACCCATCTTCAGCCCTCCTGAAGCATTTCCAACAAAAAAAAGATATACTTCAACAACTTTTATATAGCGCTTCACAAATGTCAGGAGGCACTTCACAGGAGCACTAGAAAATAAAGTCTTGCACCAAGCCACAGCAGAAGGCATGAGGTCAAAAGACTAAAAAAAAATTATCAAAGGCGTATCTTTAAAAGAGAGACAAAGGACAAGAGGAATTCCAGAGTTTGGGGCTAAGCAACTGAAGGTACAACCACAAATGGTGAAATATGTATAAATTTGGAATGCTTAAGTGGCTGGTTTAGAGAACTTAGAATATCTAATCTTTCAATGGAAGAAATTCTCTAGACCACAAACCACCAAAATTCTTCAAATTCTTTTAGATTTGAGTGTGTCCACTACTGAGTTTGTAACCTCACCTCAAGCCTTTGTATTTTGTTATAGAAATGCCTAGAGCCAATTTTTTTTTTTAAAGGCAGCATCACTGAATTAATTATTCCATCTTTTCTATTTTGTATACTGTAGTGCTTCACTTTCTCCCGCAACTGAGAACCAACTATAGCCTTTCATAGGCATGTCACTGGACTAGCCACAGTAAACTGGGGACCATGAAGGCAAAGATTTTACAAAATTATAGCTTCACAAACAAGATTTAGAATAACAGGAAGGCTGGTATGCCACCAAGTAATTTAGCCTTCTAAAAAATTTGCAATTTGAGACTCTTTCCAATAGCTTGCAAATGAACCCGAGTGTTTTCCATAAAAGGCACGATCAGACAAAGATCCATTTTGTTTTCAGGTAGTTAAAAGCAAGAGAAAAATAAAACTGAAGGTGGTCACTGGACCAAAAACATTAATACTGTTTTCTGTCCACAGATGCTGCCAGACTGCAGAGTCTTTTTCCAGCTATTTCCGATTTTCAGCATCTGCAGTACTTGGAGTTTTTTTGCAAAATAAAATTCCAATTAAATCAAATTCTACATGCTGAAAAACAAAATGGACCATATTTGAACAAAGCAGATGTTAGAATAACAGCACTCACCATAACATAACCACAAGTAATCTAGCAATTTTCAGCAAGCACAATTAAACAAAATTTCAAAAGTTGCTCCGTGAGATATCACTCTCCTGCAAGTGGAGACATAAAAGCTGGCTTCCTCCATTCATGTGTATTGAACAGTGGTAGTTCATATATTAGAACTGTCGATAGACTAAACTTGACAAAGGATTGAATTAACAAATCCTATGTTTTAAAAGTAAATTTATGGCCAAATTACTGCAAAACAACCTCTCTAGCATGGCAAAGCAGGAAGTCTTTATTTCTTCAGCTTTTGACGATTGACAATTTTTGGAAGACATTATTTGTACTTTATCCCATGACTCTTACCTCTCTCCTTAAACGCAATCTTTTCTCTCTACTTCACTTCTTGTACCTGATATGATGTGGAATTTACTAGTCTGCCATTAGCGATCCTTCAAGTGGGTTAGTGAAGGAGCTACACAGTTGTCTTCCTTGTTCACACAAATCCCCTACATCTGGCACTGCGCTTTTCAGTCGTTGTGCTCACTGCAGCTTGCTGTGCAAAATAAACCCGCCCCCCGCCAAGGGGAGGCTTTGTGCAACAGCCGGGTCTCAATAAACGGTGAGCGGCTCAGCTGGCCTTGGGCACACTGTCGTGAGGGTGGGGTTCGTTAGCGCCGACATTTAAACACTGGACCGAACCGTTCGCCATCCTAAAGATGTTTCACTCACTTATCAGGGCGGCATTCGTGGTTTCTTTGCGAAAGCGGAATTTTTTAAGCTTTTCCAGCAGCTGTTCGTCGACACCACACAAACTCACTGGACAGCTCTGAGATTTTTTTTGGGGGGGGGGGGGGGGAAAAGGAGGGAAGGAAAGACAGAGACAACCCATTTGAAACAACACAAAAAAAAGCAAAAAGCTAGACGTTGTTCAAGAAAACAAACCCTCCCCCGGCTAAGCATATATATATATATATATATACACACACACACACACACACGGTGTTTTATAGATGGTGTGGCTGGGTTTTAATGCGGATTTCTCCCTCACCCCGGAAAACAGAAACAACCCTCCCAACCAACTGAAGGAGACAACGGAGGAATGTTTAGGCCGCGCCACCCCCGGGCAGCCGTGTCCCCCGTGATGGAGTCCCCCCCCCCCCCTCTCTCTCTCTCTCTCTCTCTCTCTCTCGCCACCGACACTCGATCAGGTCCGCACACACGCGCGGCCCCCTCACCATTCCTAATGATTCTCTTCCCAACACTTTCCCAAACGCGGCGGCTCCTGCTTTTTTTTTCCCCCTGCGGCTCTTCCCACGCTCGTGATCCGGGCGAGAACCAATCAGCCCCCGCCCTCCCCACTGACATCATCGGAAAGAGCACCGGGATCTGAAGGAGGCGTCTCTCAGTCTCACCCACTCTGCACCCCCCACCCATCCAGAGTCTTCAGATAAAAGCACTGGAGTTGTTGGGACCTGCCAGAAGTAGCCTGTGATTGTCTTCCAGAACAGCTTTAGGATTTCTTCCCCCCCACCCCCCACCCCCCAAGGTGGACCCACACAGTGTATGGTAATTGGAGTACATGGATCGCTTAATCAGAACACAAAGATTGGCCTTCTTCCCTTCCTTTAAAGTCAACCTGTTTTCAGAGATATTATTACACACCTTTGGAGTAGGTGGGGCTTGAACCCTGGCTCACAGAGAGGGACACTCCCACTGCACCACAAAAGCCCTTAGGGTAATTCAACACTTTTTAAGCTTGAATGTAAAATGAAAGAGTGCAGAAAAGACTGGTGAAGAGGTTTGTCAAACGCTCACAATCATTGTGAATGAGTCATCGGAACATTAGCATAGGATATTTTCATTAATATCGCCTTTAAACTCCAATGGGATACAGGTTCAACCTATCTAACGAGTGACGTAACTC